TATAGTAGAGAATTATCGCAGACGGATATAACAACTTTGGCGAATCCTTAGAATGTGGTTCGTTTATTATAGCTGTACCGAACGTAAAAGACATTATTATGCATATATTTAACTTTAAACATGACTATTTTTCAAAATAGAAGGCAATATATCATGCTCATTTACTCGTTCTATTGATTCATATACATATGATCAAGCTTTCTTGCTAGCATGCTCGCTTCTTGATCCTCCCAATATATTTGCTTTGATGTGTGTATGTTTTATCATTTCGTTTTGCCTTTATTGTTCATTCGCATTCGCTTTTAATAAATAAATAATCTTCACATAAAATAAAATGGAACCAAGCATAAGGATGTGAGCGTGGTTTGGTATATATTTGAAGAATTTGAGATATATCGCCCCTCTTTTGCCCACAAAAAATTGTTTAATAAATGTTTATACGCTATGAAATGACTACATATCTGATATTCTCGAATATCAGATTAATCTTATGTATGATCATTTTTACTTGTCATACACATCGTCAAAATTCTAATTCAATCTATATTTTGAGTAGCATATTATATAATTTTATTAGTTTAAATATTGATGTTATCCCGAGCATTTACTCATTAGGGTGGGTGTGGGCCTTGCTCTTAACTAACACTCACACCCTCAAGATAGTTTTTCTATAATAACTTCGTAGTAAACTTCGATTTAACGGCTATATCTTTGATGTAACGACAGTTCAAATTTTCATAATTCTATGTTGTTGATTTATCAGTAAGCAATCTATATTGATTATTGATATAGGTGATCTAACAATTAGTTTTCTTTGTTAGCTGATTGAAATTGATGATGACATCATAGAATGAATGAGTTCTCTCAAAATTGCTCAATATTTATTATAGTCAGAACATGTATCAATTCCAACTTAAACCAATATCAAGTATACATTAATGAGTCGCTTCTATCATAATAGCTTCGCAACTGTTTTAGTCTATTCTGGGAGAAAGTATATTCTCCTTTCTTAAAGTTTATTTATATCGCATTAATAATAAAATTAAAATAAATTCAGAAAAAATATATTATCACAAGAGGAAGGAAGTAATATTTATGTTTAGATGCTGGAATGAATATTATTAAAAATTAATTATACAACCAAGATAATAAGAGAACATGTATTCGATTCAATTCTTATCACGAATGTTTTTTATAGATTCATTAGACATATAAAGTGCAAGTTTTTTTAAAAATACATCATTAGGTACCTGTTATTATAATATGACATTGCTTTCTATATGATTATAACTAATTCAAGGCATTCACGCAGAAATATTTTCTATTTTCTACGTATTCGGAGTATATTAGACATAAGTCTGTGACAGTAGTATTCAGTAGAACCAACAATAAAAGAAAAATAGTTTCTAAGATGTAACTTTTATTGCAATATATTACTGGACATAACAACAATAACAAAAATATTTATTTCCTACAATTAACTCCTGTGCACACGATAATAAAGATCATTACTTCGTTATTCATTTTATGAAAACAACATCAATAGAGTCTCCGTTTGTTTTTGTTCTTGTAAGTTGGATATCACCGATTATTTCAGTATTTGGTACAATCTGATTATTACCTCGTTTGTTCATCCATTGTTGGCATTGCTTTATACAAACATTTGAAATTATGAAGATGAGTTGTTGTCGAAATCGTTGTGAAACACAAGAATAGATATAGAAAGAACCCTATATTATTTGAAAAATAAACATAATTTCTATTTTTTTTACAGATAAAAATACTCACAGCATAACTTGAATAAGAAATTAAAATTAAGGTAGTATAGATAAGATTATTACGTGCTATTTTTTCTGGATCATTGGTAGTTTGATTCAGGGAATATATAAAATAAATAATATATGGTAACATAGTAATTACAACAAATACAACATGAACAAGTGTCATTGCTGTCAATTGTCTATCTCGACTTAAACGTACAAGATTTATTTGTCGGCTAATTAATGTACGAGCATTATAGAAAGCTAATAGAGAAAATGTAGTCATTGTAGTTAGAGGTAGAACTCCATAAAGTATTGGAAAATGAAAACGAGTTACATACATTGCAAAATTTGAATTAAGGATCATACATATGCCTAAAGGTGCATCGTAATAAATGAGAAAACAAATACAATACAGACCCCAAAAAAATTCCAGTATTAAATATACAACGTTGAGCAAATCGTAAATTACTGAAACGTCTATAGTGACTCATGGATAAGAATTGATCAATTGTTGCTAAACATACATATGTCATTGATACCAAAAGACACCATACAGCCATATATACTTGTATTTTACAAACCCATGATGTTCTTTTAATATCAGTGGAAAAACCTTCACTTAGAATACGTACAAACAATGCTATTACCAATTGAATGATATTAACCACTAAAACAGCAGTTAGATAAAATGCACAAGTTGTTTCTCGAAATGTTTTCAGCGTTGTAAAAATTATAATATTAAATATTCCACCAATAACACCTAAGATCATAATTGATAAACCAAAATAGATATTAACTTGTTTTGTTGCAAAAATCAATATATCTTGAGTTGACATTATTTTGACCTTTCGTAAAATAAAATAATATTTCTTGAAATATTAACTGATATAGATCTAAAACAATAAAAAAAATTATTTTATATGAATGTACGTTAATTGAAATAAATATAAACGCTTTGCTACTCTTTCATGATCTACCATTAATGAGTTTATGCGTGTAGGATAATCGACTTTATAATTAAAAAACAAAAAAGACATTGCGAACATAAAATTATAAACTCTCTTATATTTTACATTGCTATCTTATTTCATTTTCTTCCTTTTTATTATCATAATTCTTCATCAACTACTGCTAATCATTAATTAGTTCAAAGAAAAAACATGCAATAAATTAATTAGTTAGTAGAACATAGATTATTATAGATAATAGACTCATCGCCTGTTATTAAAGTATTGTTTACAACAAACGTGCCAATTTTGTAATGTCAAAAAAACGTCCATTATTGTGCGTAGATATATTCGTGCTTGAATATATATAATATTTATAAATAACATCCAGACCCACTCTTAGGATGATTAATACACATAAAGTATGATAACAATTTTTATGCAAGTTCCAGATCTGTACGGAATGCTTCTGCATTTTCTGGATTAATTTGATTATTATTTAAGTGACACAAGTATTTCAATCGTTGCCAACATTTCTTAACCAAAAGAAATCTCACTTGACGACGAAAACGTGATGATAATATTAGAAAAATATAGAAACTTGCCTATGAAAAATAAATATATTACAAATATGAATTAAATTTAAAAAAAAATGATTTTACCGAAAAATGTATATTGATTAAAGAGAGAAAGACTGATTGAATTAATCGTGCAATCGCATATTGCATAGACTGATTTTGTGAAATGGGAAACTTAGTGATATAAATACGATATATAGTAAATGGTGACATGAAACAAGCGGCGATGACAGCACGTATAAGAACCATTGCTGTCAATTGTTGATCTAATCGACGACGAGCAATTGGTATTTGTCGACGAACTATACGGCGAACATTGTGAAAAGCTAATAAACTAAATAATGATGTAATTATAATAGGTAAAAGACCACCTAAAACTGGATAGAAAAAGGATGATATATACTGTTGCCATATTGGATTTGATATAACACATCCAAGTGATCCTTGAATATCGTAAAAACAACCAGAAAGAATACCATGAGCTATCCAAATACAAATCGATATAAAGGTAATATATCGAGCTAATTTTATTGTACACATTTGTCTCAAACGGAATTGATGATTTGTTGAAAAGAATTGATCAATAGCAATAAGACATAGTGTATAATAAGAAGTGAGAACAAGTATCTGTGATAACATGTATCTAAATTTGCACCAGCCGAGAGATCGTTGTGTTGCATCATCACCATATGTTAATGTTAAAATTGTTACACTAATAGTTTGAAATTGATAAATAAAGTTGTTAATCGATTCAACGGTTAAATAGAAGGCAGTTCGGTTATCTCGAAAGAGTCTTAGTTGAGTAAAAACAAGAATATTGAGAATATTACCAATAAATCCGAAACTAAATAGAATACAACCACTATAGAGTGAATATTGCTTGGCGAGCTTAAGAATATCTGTAGACATTGATAATGACAAGGAAAAAATAAAGAAAGAAAACTAGCGAAGAACTATATAAACACT